CTTAATTTTATAACAAATTTATTATAAAAAATTTGGATATTCGGTTATCTGTTAAATTTTAAATATAAAAACAGATAATGAATCGCATTTCTATACCAAGAAAAAGGGCACCTAAGCGATTTAAGTATATTATTGTTATTGATTAATTATCGAGTTCAGTAATAATACAGATCAGACTTTAAACTATATATAATTTATACTAAATTTATATGTTAATAGACATTTTATATTATATAGTATTATTGAAATCCTGATTTGTATCATTGTTAAACTCAATAATTAATCAATAATATATTTAAATTGCTAAAATATCCTTTTCTCTTGGAGATACACAAATAATATAGACAGACCTGTAGCAATTCTAGTAAACTTCAGAAAGTTTTAATTACATCAGAGATAATTTTAATTAGATTTGGAGGAGCCTATCAACGGAGTGACAGGACAATCATATTGCGAAATCAAATAACTTCATGATCTTCACATGTCTATATTTTGGGTTAACTGTTTGTGAGACCTAAACTATTGTCCTAATAGTTTCTTGTTTGACTGAGAGAGGAAATTATCTTTTTCTTTGCTTGTTTATCATATAGGGGTATTGCCAAGGTATAGAAATTTGTTGGCCTTAGCAAACAATGATCCTTGCAGTTAGGCTGCTTGAAGTTGATTCTTCAGTTAACATCAACTTTTGAGCTCGAACAGGGGGGGATATAACAAATTAAACAAATTAAACAAAAAAATTAAACAGGCCAATCACAAAACGATTACTAGATGAGATATGATTAAATAACAATATTACAATATTGTGATTGGCTTGTTCATTTTTGGGAGATGGTCAGGAGGAGAGGGTTATATTAACTGAAGAATCAACTTCAAATAGCCTTATTACGATTTATAAATTAAAAATTTATATTTACTTGGTTAGGTTATAAAAAAAAAATTATTTTGTATAGTTTAATCTGGCATGTAAAAGTTTAGGTAAATTTTAAATTTTTTAAATGTAGTATATATAAAAGTGGGTATAAAATCTAAAAATTTTTGAGGTAAATTTTGTGAAATCTTATCATTTTATTCCCCTTCACATTACATATAATTGTCTGAAGTCCTACATAATCCATATGTCCATATTCCATAAGTATCTACATATTTGTTGTGACATGTAACTGTAGTTCTAAGAACAACGTTCGTTATGTATTTATTTATTTACTGATTATGGTTGTAAAATATCCGTACAATAAATTACGCCTGCCTTCTTTGGCTACAAACAAGTCTTATTTATTATTGAGAGTAAGGGGTAGAAAAAGAACCTGCTTTTTCTAAAAATATCTTTTTCCCCTTATATACTTGCTTATATATTTATTTAGTTCCCGCATTGTAAATAATTAACCTCGTTAAGATCACTGCGCATAATCGAATTAATGACAATCTTATTACACTCTTCCCTACCTAAATTGAGACGTCCTGGCTCAATTTTGTTTTTTTGTTTTTTTTTTACTTCTTTTTATTTCTTTCGAATTCTTAAATTAATTCTGTTGTATTTTGTAGATTCAACACCAGTTCTCATGTTGCTTCGTGGAGCAGAAAACCTTTCCATTTAATCAGGTATTGAGTTTTTCGATAGTATGTATGTCTATTAAATATTGCTTCCACTTCGAATTCCATGGTTGTTTCTTTATTTTCGTCAATTGTCACAATTGGTAGCAATGGTAGTATAGCTCTTTCTACAAATTTGTTGGGTACATATGGTTTCAACAATGAAACATGAAACACTGAATGTATCTTCATTTCTTTGGGCAGACTTAGATGATATGCAGAGGTTGATATTTTCTTTTCGATTTTGTAAGGTCCCACATATTTTGGTGTTAATTTTTTTGAGGTTCTTTTTGAGTCAATAATCGATGTGAAATTATGTATGCACAGCAACACCTGGTCACTCTCCTCTGGCTCCCAGTTTCGGCGGTTTTTATTTGCATATTCAGATTGACGTTCTTGTACTTCAATGAGTGTATCCTTTGCTATTTCAATTATAACTTTCCAGCTATCATAGAATTCTTGTGCCGCTTTTACCTTAGTTGACCATTGATTTCTTGTTATTAAACTGCTTGCCATTAATGGATGATGTCCGTTATCTAACTGAAATGGAGAAAAACCTGTGGATCCTTGCTGTAAATTGTTGTATAAAAATTCTGCTGCAGTTAACATCTGATCCCAATTGTCTTGCTTGTAATTAACATACAACTGTAACATATCTTCTAGGATACGATTTGTTCTCTCTATTTGACCATCAGTTTGCAGGTGTGCTGTTATTGACATTTGTAACTTAGTATCCAATAATTTGAATAGTTCGGTCCAAAATTTACAAATAAATTTTGGATCTTGATCTGATATAATGCTACGTGGTAAGCCATGGTGTTTAAATACTTTTCGAAAATATAACTGAGCTACTTCTGGTGCCATAACAGTGGTCCTAGTTGAAATAAAATAGGCTTTTTTACTAAATTTGTCAACCACAACCATTATTGAGTCATGACTCTCTTTAGTAATAGGTAGGTGAGTGACAAAATCTATAGACACTTGTTCCCATGGCTGGGTTGAAATTTATAGAGGCTGTAATAGACAGCTGGGGCCTTGTTGATGCTTTTGTTTCATTGACAACTTTTACAGCTACCAATATATTTTCTTACAAACTTGTTCATTTTTTTCTAGTAGTGGTACATTTTCATATGTTCTTTCTACTCCTGGGTGTCCATTGTTGTCATAGTGTTCATGCAGCAAGGTTAATTTGACTTCCAGTAGCGGTGGAATATATAAACATAGATTTTCTTCATCTTCCCTATGATACAGCAATTCTTCTTCCATTAACTGATAACGCCAAATTTGATTTTTTAATTTGACTGCTTCATCACTATCCGGATCTCTCAGTGCTTTTATTAGTTGTGACAAATATTTGTCTTGGGCATATCCTTTACTAACTTTTTTATAAAGTTCCTGGTCTACATTTACAGCAGTTACTAAATTTGTCTCTGGTCTTCTTGATAAAGCATCTGCAACCACATTTGTCTTGCTGGGTTTATATTTTACTGTGAAATTGTATGATTGTAACAATTCCACCCATCTAGCCTGCCTTCGTGATAGTTTGAATTGGGTTTGGATATACTCAAGAGAAACATGGTTTGTTGTTACTATGAAATGTTGACCTTCAAGGTAGACTTTCCACACCTTTAATGCGTGCACTATTGTTAAGAGTTCTTTTTCATGAATAGAATAGTTTAGTTCTGCTAATATCATTTTCTGAGATTCATATGTAATGAGCTGTTCTCCTTTCCCTTGGTTCTGAGCTAATACTGCTCCAATTGCTGTATCTGATGCATCTGTTGTTACTATAAAAGGTCTTTCTGAGTCTAGTATGATTAGTACTGAGGCATTAGTGAGTGTGTTTTTTAAATTGTTGAATGCTTGCTCTTGTTCATTTGACCATTGATACTGTTGGTCCTTTCGTAAGAGTTTAGTAAGAAGTGATGCTGTTTGTAAAAAATTTTGGACAAACTTCCTATAGTAATTAGATAAGCCTAAAAATGAGCAGAGCTCTTTAATATTTTTAGGCATTTCCCATTCTTTTACTGCAGTTATTTTCTTGAGATCAACTAAAAGTTCTTCAGATAACACTACGTGCCCCAAAAAATCAACACTGTCTTTCCTGAATTCGCATTTTTCCAGTTTACCATACAGCTTGTTTTTTCTTAGTTTTTCCAACACTTTTTTGACATGTATCACATGATCTTCCATTGTTTTACTAAAGATTAAAATGTCATCTAAATAAATTATTACATAATTGTCCAATTGATCTCTGAAAATATCGTTTATAAGTCACATAAAGGTTGCTGGGACGTTTGTCAGACCGAACGGCATTACTAAAAATTCATAATGACTGTATCGTGTACGAAACGCTGTCTTATGTATATCAGTTTCCTTTATTCTAATCTGATGATATCCCGATCGTAAATCGATCTTGCTAAAGTATTTAGTGCCAGTTAATTGGTCCAATAATTCGTCTACTCTTGGTAGTAGGTACCAATTCTTGATAGTTACCTTATTTAGTACTCGATAATCAATACATATGCGTAAGGTTCTCTCTTTCTTAGCAACAAATAGGACCGGAGCACTATAAAGTGAAGAACTTGGTCTAATTATACCTCTCCTAAGGTTTTCCTCCAGTTGCAATTTTAATTCTTTCATTTCATAGTTTGATAACCTATAAGTGGGACCAAATGGAGGTACTACGCCCTCTTGTAAAACAATTTCATGATCGATATTACGTTTTGGAGGTAGATTATTAGGTAACTCTCTTGGAAAAACGTCGTCATATTCTTTTACTACTGCACTCAGAAAATCAGGGATGTTAATTGGTTTTTTTTCCGATTTTACTGTATTCACAGCTAACACTACATATAATTCCGCCACTTGCTTAGTGTCTTTGGCTAATTGTTGTCAAGTTACTATAATTGTTGAACATTCCTGGTATCTTATACAGGCTTTTGCGTTTATTTTATGTATTTTTCCTTCCTTTAATATGGAAATATGGTTTGTTTTCCAATTAATTCTTGGATTATAATCGTGCAACTAAGGTTTGCCAAGGATTACATCATATTTTTGTAGCGGTAGTACTTCCAATTGTACCCTCTCTTCTTTCCAGGAATATAACTGAATCTTTAAGTTTTTTACACATCCACATGACTCACAAGAGGTGCTGTCCGCTAATTCTACTTTTGTGTATATGCCATTATCTTGGTCTACTGGTATTCGATGTTTTTCAACAAATTCCTTGTTTATAAAGTCTTTGGAGGCACCAGAGTCGATAAGTATCATAGCTTCCTTATTATCTATTTTACCTTTTACTCTCAAAAGTCCTTCTTTATTTGGTTGATCACATAATTCAACTGTACTAACTTGTTCGATATTTTTGTTAGATACCTGGGTTGTTTCATAACTTGTTCCTGAATTTGTTATTTGTTTGTTGGGGCAATTTTTTGCCAGATAACTTTTTTGGCCACATCGAAAACACAATCCTTTTCGCCTTAATTTGGCTTTTTTAGAATCATTCACAGGTTTATAGATTCCCTTTTTATGTTTTTTGTATTTTGCTGCCTCAGCTTTATCGAGTTTTATCGATACTGGTTCCACTATTCTTGGTCTTTCCCTCTTTTGAGTACTGTCTTGAATATCATTTAATATGTTTCGTTCTGTCTTGATTCCTCTATACATCATGACATCATAAGTAGTAGCTAGTTTAATGGTGTCATCCAACTTTTCAGATGCTCTGTAACTTACTTCAGCTTTTGTACCTGGTTTTAGTCCCTCCGTAAAATATAAAATTTTATCAGCTTCATATATACTATCTACCTGTCCCAGTATGTTTCTAAACCTAGACATATACTCCTGTACTGTAGTAGTTTGTCTGATATTATGTAATTGCTTCCGAAGGTACTGCTGGTATTGTGGTGGCTAAAACACCTCTTTGATCCCTTTTTCGAATGCTTCCCAGTCATTAAATGGCTTCTGTGCCACGTGCCCTTGTACTTGATTCAAATCCGGTTATTATATACTGCAGTCTTTCTTCATTATCGATCTTTCTTGCTTTAAACAGCAGATCTACTTGTACTAACCATGTCGTAACATTTTCTCTTTCTTTTCTTTTAAAAACTGGTAACTGAACTGAAAGCCTTTTTGCAACCGTAAGTCCCGAAGTGCTACTAATTGTGCCAACATTTGTTTGTTGGCTTTGAATAACTTGAACAACGTTTTTATTTAGCTGCTCCTGTTGCAAGATGAAATGTTGGTCAAAATCGTTAAATGTTTTTTGGGTCGGTTGTGTCATGAATGGTGAGTATGATAGTAGTAAAGCGTATATATATAGATCTTTTCTCTTTTACAACAATGTATTTGAGTATTTCCACTGCTACCAAGTGTAACCGTAGTTCTAAGAATGACGTTCGTTATGTATTTATTTATTTACTGATTATAGTTGTAAAATATCCTTACAATAAATTATACCTGCCTTCTTTGGTTACAAACAAGTCTTATTTATTATTGAGAGTAAGGGGTAGAAAAAGAATCTGCTTTTTCTAAAAATGTTCTTTTTCCCTTATATACTTGTTTACATATTTATTTAGTTCCTGCATTGTAGATAATTAACCTTGTTAAAATCACTGCGCATAATCGAATTAATGACAATCTTATTATATGACAGGAAAAAAGTAAACAATGCCGACCGATTTGGTAAGTAAACAATATGTTGATCTTTTGGAGAGGGTAAGCTAAATTATCTACTTTTTTACAAAATTTTCTCCAAAAAAAAAGTGGAGAGTCAATGAGAATATGTGAGGTTATTTTTGTAAGTTTTTCAGTTGTATAGTTCAGTTTTTAAGTATTTACTTGATATTCTTGCCCAGAGACTTTGCTTTACTTGTTCCTAGAATAAACCTTCTAGTTTGGATGCCAAACATGCAAGAAAGTCTATCGAAGAAAGAAAAACTTGACCCAAGGCACAAACTTATCTAATATTCTTATACGCCCACTCCTTGGTGTTTTACGTATTGTAGGCTTTGTCGACAACAAGTTTGCTTAGTGCAAAACCAAGAATATTGCTGTGTTCACTATGTTGCTTTCCTATATTGCTGACTGTAGTTCAGTAAATTGTTGTTGACCAAGTGATCATTAGAAAGAGTTCTGATATAGTATATAAAATTATTTATTATTACCTATTTACAAAAATTTTAAATAATAATAAGTAATATTAAGCAAGAATACATATTAATTTTGTCCATCTCTACCAGATATACATGTCGAAGAAATATGATATATGAATTTGGGTCAAAATCTCAAAAATAAATTCTAAATAATTGCGTTTATAAATCAAATGCTGCATATTTCTATTTAAAGTTATATTTCAAATTCTAAAATTTTCCAAATAATTATACCAAATAAGCAAATATCTGATATTATCATATATTAGTCTTTATCTAAAATTTCTAGTACTATTTACAATAAAATTCTATAAATTATACAACATTCTGCCTTTAATACTAAGGTTTTTGATATTAAAAGGCCCAAATCTGAAATATAAATGCTATATAAATCATTTAGTAAAATAGGATATGTATTATTTCACCAACAATTACTTTACCAACAACTTAGTTCACTGACAACTTAGTTCACTGACAATTAACTCACCGACAAGTTCATTTCACCAACAATTAATTTACCGACAAGTTCATTTCACTGACAAGTTTTTTTTATAAATTACACTAACCTTAACTCTAATTTAGTCTGACCTTAATGACAATGACCAGAATTACTTTGTCTGTGAAATGAAATATCAATGAATTAATTGTCAGTAAAATGAACTTGTCAGTAAATTAATTGTTAGTAAACTAAGTTGTCAGTAAAGTAATTGTCAGTGAAATGAGCACCACCTATAAAATATTACTACTATGCAAATTTTGATGAATAAGTTCTTCAGAATGAATTACTATATTTACCAGCTTATCACTAAAATCATAAACACATTTGAGTGCCACCAAGAAAAGGAGTACAATCATTTTTTAGTAATTTATTGATTATTTATCTAATTCAGCTCTTCTGATCCAATATATATTAGGTTTTTACAAACCATTAAAAATTATATTAATCACTTCAATAAGCATCATAAATTCAAAATATATTTAATGCTCAATATGTTATAAATAAGAAAGGCTAAATTAGATAAATAATTAATAATTTACTAAAAAAACAGGTGTGCCCTTGTCATTAAAACTACAAATACATTGTTAAAATCATAATTTTACAAGTGCAAAGTTGATGCTAGTACCTTGATAACTATGAAATTGTTAAGATTCTATACAATAAAAAATATTAAAATAAGTTTAGATTATTATACTTATTTAAACAAAAATAAGAACTAAATAAAGATAAATAGTTTATTAAAAATCAACATACCATTATATATTATTTGTTACTATGTTTCAATCAATATTACTATCATTATTTCATAATTATAATTCACATATATAATTGTTAAAAGCTTTGTAAAATAATAATAATTCAATATATGTTTAATATTAGCAAATAAATTTGTAATGACTTATCTCTTTAAATAATCATGAAAATTTCCTAAAATCAAAACAAGTTTTGAGAAACAGCTCTATAAATATATTAGTTTAGACATATAGACAGAAATTTTAGCAAAAAATACTCTAGCAAACATTATATCTTTAGTTAATAATTATGATTTGAACCATATTAGAAATTTAATAAACTACTAACAGTATAAAATAAATAAATACAGTAATTTATTAATACCTACCTTCACTCTTATGAAAACTTTCTGATGAAAGTAATTGAAAATGTTTAGAAAAGATCCTCTATTAAAAACACTAGAAATGAAGAAATTTTACTAATAAATAGGGGTACCTTTAGTTTAACCTTTTAGAGGTAAATGAATTGTGAAATTACCAGTTTTTAGACTACAATCATATATCAAATTTTCAATTGACTATATAAATAATTTGTATAACAATGATTTCAGAATTAATCAAATACAAGTTATTGCTATGCTGTTTCCTATATAAACTTTTGAGAAATAAGTGATTTTTGACAAAAGTGATATTTGTTTTGAATTTTTCTAATCATATTATATTACACTAAATTATGATCTGTTATTGGCTAATAATCATGTGAGGTGAATTTTTGATGGTAATACTAGGGTAGTTTCATATCCAGGGAGACTGTTCCAAATTAGAAAATAATTGGAAAATCATTATACAATTTAACTCAAGAGACAAATGAATTTTTTATACATTTTACAATACTGTTTTAAAGGCTTTGAGTAATTTATTTCTTTTATTAAATTTAATGACCTTATATTGTAATTTGTTTAACAAAAATATGTTTAAATAAAATATAAACTATTAATTTGTATAGATTTTTATCTGCTTTTTTTATAAAACATAAATAAATCTACATAAATAAATCTACTAAGCAAAATTAAAATTTTTATTTTGTTTTACAATTTATTGCTTAATTGGTGATCTGCAAATTTTTTTTTTTTTTTTTTATTTTTTTCAATGTTTTTTTTTTAAAAATTATTTATATGTGGAAGAATACTATGTGCGGAT